CATAGTTTTCGAGTTTTTATTTTTCCAAATGACGCATGTCACCGACTTTTCGTGACATCATCAAAATAAAAAATTATTCAAGTTCTGGTACTGCACATGCTCGTGCACAACCTGGCGGGGGGAAAMACTATATGGAGCCACCTTAAGGTGGCTGAACCCCCTCATGCTTRACCGCTACCTTCCACGTTTGGAATGCTGGTGCATAAATGTGTTTCATCTGATTGCAAATCTTTTTTGCACATAAGTCACATAAAGATTGAATTAATGCTTGATGCAGTTTTTAATGAGATGGACGTCATAACATGTGATTATGATGAAATATTTGTTTTCGTTTAGAGAACAATTTTAGCCTTGCAGAGCGTTCAACACTAAAATGCTTCGTACCACATAAGTATATTCTAGATGCCTCCATTTGTAGGGATTTTTGAAAAAATCTAACTAGCTAATTATGAGATATTTGAGATTATTTAAATATAGTGCATAATCTACTCCAAAACTTAACAATGGATTTGATACGGTCGAAATTAATACATGTATTTCAGAGCTATATATTCACAAAAGTCATTGCTCATTTAGTTTTACTCTGTATCTAGTTTTAAAAGGAACGTTTTGAAGGTGGTCGACTTGTGCGATTTTGTGAAAACATATAGTGCATAAGACGGGGTAAACATTTGATGCGCACTTTTCATTGCAGTTTTCTAGTCAATCTTACCAGATCTTCCATTATTCTAAAATTCGCTGATAATTTCTCTTAAAACTACATCAGGATACAAATTAGGACTTAAACTAATATTACACAAAATTGTGAGACTATTGAACTCATTTAAAGTGATCTAAAGCCAACGAGAAATACAGAAAACATTGATCGTTTCCCGACGATTTGATGCTCTGGGAATTCTATTGTTTGCTAATGATCATAACACCAAATTCTTTCACAACGTGCACAGTCTCATCTTGCTTGGCTGCTTTCTGATTTACTCCCGAAGTATGGTAATAAACAATCTTATAACTTCTGTATTAATTATTACTGTCAGAATGGTGCTATGAAAAAGTGGTTCCATTTGTGTACTTTGCAGACATTATATATAAAATGGGCACATCACTACAAATACTGTAACCAAAGCCCCAGTTTTAATGYACTGTCGTTGGATTTATGCAATATAGTACAATGTATTAGTGCTAGTTAAAATGACATAATTAGTATTGTGGTCACAAAGCTTTGTTGCTACTTAATTATTTAATTAAATGCAGCTTATCTGCAGGTTTCCTGTCTCTTGATAAGGGTGTAACTAAAAGTATTTTTGTTGTTGTTCTTCATTGGTTTCAGATTTTATTATTCCATAACAATAACCTGATTCTCAAGGCAGAGCGTGGTGTAACTCTTGGGCTTATTAAACTTATCTATTCATCAGATGATAATAACAGTGGCATTATTCTTGGTGTTAAACCAAGATTAAACAAACAAGTTCCTTGTTTGGTAACATTTGACAGCACAAGTCTGACTTATGATGCTTATGATCTTATTATCAAAGGTTGGTAACTTCAGAACACTTTCGACTGTACAGCTTTCTTCTCACAAGAATATCAATCAGTCAGGATGTTCTGTTCAAACCATGTTGCTTAAAAACAGATTAAATCAGAATATGTACTTATTGACTGAGTGGGAGGGCCGTACGGGAAAATATTTGGCTTGAGGTCATGTCGTAAAAGAAAGCGYGCGGATTCGAGCAGGGCCGGACGGGTTTCTCCGGCCCGCTTACGTCAACCCGTCCGGCCCCCATCACGTGACTTTTTCCAATGGTTTTATTAGAGCACGCGAGCAGGGCCGTACGGGTCATATGATTATATTACATATCGTTCACTCACAGATAAAATCCTACCAATTGTTAATGTTATTTTTTTAATGATTGTTATCTTAATTTGCATTAATCTTTTCTTTTAGATTTTAGATCTGGCAATGACATTAACAATGACATGGCAGGCAATGCTGAGCAGCCAAGTTCTAATTTTCTCCAATGTTTCTCAGTTGGAGAGAGAGCAGCAAACAGTATGTGCATAAGTAGACAGGAATTGCCTCCATCAGCTGCWCAATATAAGGATTTGGAATTAACCGAGACTGATGACAAGGAGTGCAATTCTTATGAAGACCACTCWACTGATGACTCACTTGAAAGGAGTAGGTCAAATGATATGTTTTTGGAAAATTCAACAACACAAGAAGATTCTTTTAAAAGTGTTGAACTACAAGACATTGCTCAAAGGGACTTAAATTTATCAGAAAGAGAAACTTCTGAAAATTATCCTGATGAAGAAAATGATTGTGAAGAAGAATTAAATGATTGTGAAGAAGAAAATGAGAATGATGAAAGTGTTCAATTCAACCCAGAAGATTTCAATTTTGATATAAGTAAGTACAATAATATTGTGTTCAAATTTTTTTAATGAAAACTGATCTTYTGACTGAAAAATAATAATTAACATATATATGAATATTTACTGAGCCACGAGTCTTGCAGGCGTGGTAAATATTTACTATAATCACTGARCCTGAGGGGAATAATTGTTTTAGTATAATTTTAGACTTAAATATTGAAGAAAAGTTGAAATTTAGAACAAAAAACCTCTAAGTACTTATTTATTTATTTATATTTATATTTCCACACTGGCAAACTTTGGGAAACCCCATAATCACTATTAATAGTGATTATCGTCTCAGAATCACCGGTCACTTGACCAATCACAGTGCAATAAACTCTATATTCAAGTCTAGAATTATACTAATACCTGATAATATACCTTTGTATAAAAAAGGACCATTCTGTAAATCACGTTAACATGTTACTTAGGTATCCTGAATAAAGAATAAAATCATTTGGTCAGATGTAGTACTCATGYCTATAGCAACTGATCACCTCCAACACAGTTACTTGGGACTTATCTAACAAAATTAATTGTTTTTTCAACAGAATCTGTTATACCAACCAAGACAGATAAAGGATTGAGATGGCCATGCAATCGCTGCRGCAAGGACTATTGCAGTGCCAGCCACTTAAAAAGACATTGGATTCTTCACACTGATTTCAAGCCCTACAAATGTAGTTTATGCATCAAACGTTTTCCTTTTCACTGGGATCTTAAAAGACACATGACAAAGCATACTGGCAACAAAAGATACAAGTGTCCACACTGTACCAAGTCATTTAATACTCAGAAGGAACTCAAATGCCACAACTGGCTGCATACAGGTATAGGTAATAGAACTGCCTAAACAATACCAGCTATTGTAATCAGGGAATACATGGTCATTTTTGGTATRTTTCTTAGAGCTTGAAATAATTAATGACAGAGGTAGGGAATAGGGGTGTTAAAGGGGTGTTAGTTTGCACTGTTCTAAAACGTTGTCTGATGGATAATACAAGGTGAAAGACATGTGCCATATAATTATCATTATGATTGTTACAGGTCAAAAGGAGTACAAATGTCATATTTGTCATCATGAGATTTCTTCATCAGGAAACCTGAAAATACACATGAGAAAACACACAGGTATAACTTTATTCAATGACCAAAGTTTTTAAATACCTCACGTTTCATATGATAATTACTGTATTAACATGTTAATGAGATTGTACGTATGTATGTTGAATATCGTTTTTGCTAACCCAAATCACTATTGTTATCACAGCATTCGACCTTTACACTTTACACTGTTTAGCCTTTGAAAGCTCAGGGAATCACAGCAATTCGTGAATTCATAGGTGATGTAGCTGTGGGTGTCTGGAGTTCCCTAGTATCTAGTCCCCCACTTCTTTAACTCAAAGATACGCGAAGCGTGAGACCAGTTATTGAAGCTGCCACTTCAACGCAAATGGGGCATGAGCCACCTTGGGTGGCCAATATTTGTCCCTTATCAATATACGTATTAATCTGTTTAATGGTTTCAGTTTTTGTTTGACTTTCTGTCGTTACAATAAATAAAGTATAGATAGAATATATTTTGATAAAATAGCCCTTAAGCCCAGTTTAGACTTTTGCGATGGCCAAATGAGGAGGCTTGGAAGTGTTAACTCATTCATCATCTATTGTTATGCGAATTGGTGCTTTTTTGTACTAATTARTTAGTACTATTTCATGGATATATGGTTTGCACTCGACTCTAGAGCTCAAATGCATATTTATTTATTTGAACGTATATTTACTAGGGGAGAAGCCATACAAATGTGAATACTGTCCTAAAGCTTTCTACATGCTGGGCCACTACCAATATCACGTTAGAAGGCACACTGGTGAGAAACCATATAAATGTGACGTATGTGATATGGCGTTTAGCTACTCTGTCAACCTCAAAGAACACAAAAACATTCATACCGGGACAAGGCCGTACAGGTAAGCCATTCTGTACGGCAAGCTGCTAAATATTCACTAAAGTGATGTGCAACAGCTAACTGGAAGAGGAGATGGAAAACACCCGTGGTTTGTTTATCATRATGAATTGCTCATTGAACAAAATATGAAAATGAGTGTACAATGACTGCGCTACATCCCTTGTCCCTTACTGATGATAACATACATACATCAGTTTTCCTATGAATGTGAAAAGCTCGCGGMATTGAACGTAGAYRTGACACATTGCGCTWGCATTTACTCTCCATCCAATCAAATACCCGAAACAAGGCACGAATAACGTGCGGACACGGTCAAGCCAATGCCACGGCACAGCCAGACCAATCACATTGSGCGAGAAAAAAATCAGCCAATCAAAATTCTAGATAACATCACGGTCGAGGCAAGGCTCGCATGCGGCACCAAGTTTTGCACAGTCAAGAAAGCTGGTCTAACTTGAGGTTGTGGTGAGGAATTATCATCCCTGCCTTGCCCCCTGATATACGTTATTTTATGCATGCGTTACGCTCTATTCACTCTTGATCTTTTGTTACTCTACAGCTGCCCTACTTGCGATAAGAGGTTCACTCATCGATCAACTATGAAGCAGCACATTTTGACGCACAGCGGACAACGCCCATACAAGTGTCATWTGTGCTCTAAGAACTTCATTCAAAGCTCAAACTACCGTATGCACCTTTTAACACACAAAGACAAGCAAGACAGAGCGCAAAAATGTGACCTTTGTGGTAAAGAATTGTTGTCAAGRCGAGGCGTCAAGAAACACCGACAACGATGTGCACAAACATTAATTGACAGAGCTAACGGTGTAACCAGCAAAAAGAACAAACCAAAGACAAATACCAAAGAAAGATACGAGTGTGGCATTTGCTCGAAATTGTTTACCTATCGCGCTAACTACGAAGCTCACTGCAAATTGCCACACCCAATAAAAAAGAAGCRAAGAGAAAGAAAGACACAAGTGGCAAAACAAAGCAAGTCTTCCATCTCGAGAAGTCACAATAAAGTAAAATGCCCTATTTGTGGTAAGCAATTCTTGTATATGAAGTGCATCAAAAGACATTTGCAGAAAAGGCATTCTGGTATAGAGGTAGGGACGAGGTCATCTAATGTGGTTACATCACCATCTGAAAAGACAGAAGCATTAAAAGATGTACAGACACTCCCTACTGTACATATCCAACCAATGGGAGAGCTCTCTTCCTCAAATGTAACTCTCATTTATGTCCCTTCTGCATCAGCTCGAAGCTCATCAASCGCAAAGTCCTCGAGTATGTTAACTGTTTTGCCAAAACCACGCCAAGAGAGTGAAACAGGCAGATCAGAACATTCAGCAGTTGTTGTGGATTCTGAATCAGTTGGTCGTTATCCTTTGTCAAAGCAAAGTAATAACGATAAAACATGTAAGGGAGCTGAGACTGGTTCACAGGCTATTACAGCTTTAAAAATACTTTCTGCCAAGATTGGAATAGAAGACCAATTTCAAGCGTTGTCAAGACGAAAAGACGAGCAACGACCGCCTATCTCGAAGCATCTGACAGCTTTAGAACAGCTTTCGAAAAGAGTAGGTGTTGTCGAGGAGATCCCTGTTACCATAGAAACTGCGCMTGAGCCCAACGAACAGAATACTGATGTCAGCATTATGAAGGATCAAGCCAACTCGCAAAATGGTTATGAAATAGAAAGAAAAGGGCTCAACGAAACAAAAATAAATACGGTAGAATAAAAGTAAATTGGTTATGGTTAATGACCTCCATATATGACATATAAGTTTTTTAATTTGATGRCTGTTTGTAGGTAACCCACATGCTCTAAGGATTCCTATAATGTACATGTAGATTCAAAGTATGTGTGTTTATACGGAGAAGGACAAAATACAGAGATTTTAGAAATTGAAATTGTTTTTCTAGTAGAGTACAAAACACCACATCCAGTAGCCGTGGGAAATCATTGTTACTGTTACTTAATAAGACAATAATCTGAGTGACTAGGACCAGTTCTTTTCAACTTTTGATATGAGCAAGTWAGCAAAAATTGATTTACATCATTGAACAAAGCACCTCAAATATAACAATTTAAAAACTTGTCAGTTTTTTAATTTTTATGCATTTGTTTTGTAATTTTTTCATTTTTATTTTAAAGCGCCTTAGAACTTTTGTATTTGCGAATAAATAATGATAGGTTGGAAAAATAGCAACATTCTAGCTCCGTAAAGTTGCGATATTTTACGGACGTTTGTATGATGAGGGTCAAGTTTGTGCCCCACCAGTCCCCCCACCATACAAACGTCAGTGTAAAATTTCGTGACTGCATGGCTATATCTTCGTCTGTTTCCAACGTATCTCTCTCAAACTTGGTAAATCTACTAATTTTGAGGTCCTTTKTCCAGCRTTATCGATGTATTTTTGTTAACTAGTCCATGTAGAAAGTTGAAAAAACTGTGGAAGGGTCTATCAACGTGAACTATTTCTCGTTTTTGCTGTAATATTTCAAAAACGAGGGCGAGTGTTTCATTAGGGTTTCCAAACACGAGAAAACATTTGAAAGCAAGAGGCCGTAGCCCGAGAGTTTTTATTGTTTTCGAGTGTTTGGAAACCCTAATGAAACACGAAACACGAGTTTTTTTTTTGGAATGACTTCTCTGAGTTAATAATTCATTATGCAGGAATTATTTTCTGTGTTATTTTCTTGTTTTCATTGTGTTATTTAATATACTTAGAACAGTTATATGGGAAAAACATTAATAAAATATAGATCCAACCCAATTTTGTCAGCAAATTCCTCATTGGCATGGTTGGKGAATCACTAGACTATCACGCCAAGGGTCCCATGTTCGTGAGTAGATGGTGCATAGAAGTTAAACAAGTGAGTAATGGAGGGGAGAGAGGTAGAGAATTGAAGCAAATGGGTGAAACGAAAGTGGATGAGAAGTTCTTCTATCTATTTTGAGACACCCACGACAAATATGTAGATTAAGAAATATTTTCATTACTAGTGATAAAAATATTTTAAACACTAGTGATGAAAATKGTTTTTCAAAACCCACCAACGTGATCCGAAAAGTGCCCATCCATTGGTTGCTGAGCTTATGAATTAYTAGYGAGTTTGATAAGTAATAATGTARTTGCTTGGCATATAACACTTATTGACTTGAACCTCGGGAAAGCAGCGTGTTTTGTGGTCCCTCGTTGGCATCGGGAAAACATCGCCGCCTCAGGACAACAAAACACATCCTCGGTCACAGTCAATAACTGTTAACTATGTAAGGATTAGTTACCGAGGGCCGTAGGGCTGTATATGAGCTGATTTAGTGGGCACTGATCATGACTTGGACGTTTAGAATAGTTTGGTAGAAAGTAGAACCCACAACCGCGACTGCAAAAAATGCACCTTTTTAAAGAGCCCATGCMGCCTGTTCACTATATATTAATTGTGTATGTGAATATATATGAAATATATATTTGTACTGCGGTTGTAATGTATCAACTTGAGCTGATCCTCGCAGCATATGAAGCAACTTATGCAGCTGCAAATTGAAAGAGTCAGAAAAAATCTGTGTCTTGAACATTTTTTTCAAAATTCTGGTACTCCTAGTGCACCAACAACAAAAAGACTGATTACAGGCAAAGACCATGATTAGGTACTACTAAACTGAACAAATCATCCCTCCCTMCCCTCCCTGCATCTACATTACATGACATTACTGCATAGTGATAATCAGAAAATGTTGTAATTGGAATCATGCAGAATTGCATATCGGAATCGAAAAGTTTCCTTTTTCTTGGCTTTTTGTTATGATGGCGAGCCRTATTCACTTACAATTTCGTGCAGGAACTGCTTACGACTCCAATTACAAATCCGAGGCAAGTGTAAACCAGATTTTACAGACAAACTGCTGAGGGTTATCCAATGATGATGATATGCGATATCCCATTTCAAGCATAGTAGTGATTAAGCTGCGTTTGTAGCGCTCATCGACATGACTTGGGTAATGAAGTAGAAGGCCAGTGTTAGTGGGCTTGACATACACTTTCGTTTCGATGTCGGGGGCTCTATTAAGTAATTGGACACCTAAAAACGGCAACATAACATTACTTTCTACTTCCATGGTGAATTTTGACGAAGGATGTATTCGACTAAGTTCACATAGGAAGTGATTAGCTGTGTTGGCTATTAGGCATAATGGTTAAAGTGTCGTGAACATAACGTTTATAGTAAGATGGTAGTTTTCCATTGTGTTGTAGAATGTCTTCGAAACGACACATGAAAACATTAGCGAGGAGTGGTCCGAGAGGAGATCCCATCGCCACTCCGTCAATCTGTTCGTAGAGTTGCCCATCAAATTGGAAAAGCTGGTATTTAGTGGATATGGTCAAAAGCTCGATCAGGTCTTCTTTACTGATGTTGAGGTCACACGTGAGATTAAACCAGTTGTTATTGAAAACCAGTTGTTATTGAAAGCTTTGTTTGCTAATATCTAGATAGTTTCGTCCAAAGGAATATTTGTTCAAAGGAAACAAGTAAATCACCTTGGTTGATCTTCTCTTTTTGATCTTCTCTTTTTTTGAACTTCGACAGCAAAGGAGGAAGTTCAAAAAAAGATCAACCAAGGTGATTTACTTGTTGCCTATGATGTAGCATCTTTATATTCCTTTGGACGAAACTATCCAGATCGTCTTAGAATATCTTCGCACGGCAAATCTTCGTGCGAAGTCTTTGTGTTTTTGTTGGGTGGTTTTTAGAAGTCGTAATTATATGAAAATGCAACGCAAAAAGAGTTGAGCTGGATGTATAACTCTTTGAATCTTCTGCATTCTGTGAGTGGGAATAGGATTTGGACACTGGGAAGTGGGATTTGGAAAAAATAGTGTGGACGTAACCTTACTCAGGGCTACCCTTATTTCAGTGTTTAAATATTCACAAATACCAACGGTAAAGTAAAGAATGCACAATTTTAACAATACAAACACTTTGAAATCCGGAAAATGCTCTACACAAAATCGAGGCTAATGCTGCGCAACAGAGAACTGGAAAGTGAAGTATTTTCAGTTCCCTAAACTTCCCTCGCGTATCCATTAAGGGTTTGCAGTGTTTACGTGTAAAATGATTTTATTTCTTAAATATAAAATATAAAAAGCAAAAAAATATGGATAAAGGGTTTTTTCCTTTCTCGCGTTTCTTTTGTATAAAACTATTTATTTTATATAATCAAAAACACACCGGCCCAGCCCAGACCGGATCAGACCAGACCGGATCAGACCAGACCGGATCAGACCAGACCGGATCAGACCAGACCGGATCAGACCAGACCGGATCTTGTGTTGTAATGCATGCTTACTCGTGGAGTTCTTTATAACAAGACTAAAAAATTAAAAATTAAAAATTAAAAAATAAAATAAAATAAATAATTAGGGGTTTTGTGAGCATACTAACTGTTGGTGTTTACATTGGCGAGCATTGCTGTGTTGTATACATGTATCTCGTTACTTACTATGCTTTTTTCACGCGGTAACCATATTGGTTTGAACAATAGATTACTCTACGCGTAGCCTCGCATTCAAATGCTTGACAGTGATTTTATGCGGGTTAAACCGGCGAAGAGTTGTATTYTCATGAGAATAAACATGCATCGCTACCGCGTGAATAAGGCCCTTGTAGATGTAACCTATATACATGTTCTATATCTAGGATTCCTTTTGGTCACCCTGTGGTTAAGCAAGGAAACGATGTATTTCTTTTTCAGATTTTTTGACCAAGTAAAGGTGGAAAGCAATATTGGGAGGGTCAAAACAAGATAAATGCTAATTTATCCTTTTGAAGGTCAGCAAAGACTCCGGTGACACTGCACACAAACGAGCAAGAAATTGAACGCGGAGAATGCCTCGTTCCYACCACAGGGTAACCAAATCGAATTCTAATTGCTAACCCCGCAATAGTTCTTTGAAGTAGATTGATAGACTGTTGGGCTGGTATGGATGTAATATTTTCTCATTTCAAACAAGGCGTCATCCCCTAGAGTATCATTTCTTTTTTCAACGGTTGCATATAAAAAGACACCTGTATATCGATACAACACAAACAAAGAATCTTCTTCTCAAGAGAATGACAAGTGGTCTGAAATGGGAAACATTACGCCAAAGCTTTCGATGCTTATAAATTATACTCCTCAAGCTGTTGAGCCGGACATACTCTCATACTGCATGCATGTCCCTTGGCGTCCACATAGACACCAACCGGGCCGCAATTATTAGGACTATCTTTTTCGAAGCTGAAATGTCAGAGGCTCGGCATTAGAATTGACCGCATAATAAACGTTGCAGTGATCTGGAAAAACCAGTTCATCTGAAAGAGTAAGAAAACAAGAGATAAATATCGAAAAACAAGGCAATAAGCCATATCTTTTACAAGTAATCTATATATCCTTAATATAGACTGTTGCTTGGTATGAAGATAATCAGTATGAATATAATCTCATTACCAGCCTAAAATGAGGGACAAACAATGCTCCTGTGGAATCAGTTGTGTACATTTCCATAGAAAACTTGACAATCATATCTGGTAGAAATTCCACGCAAGACCGGAAATGACGCCTATTGATAGCGACTATAAGCCTTTTCATAGTTTAAGAATCGATTCCACTGCGCATGCGATTTTATCCCGAATTTCTCACCTYCTTTTGTTTAATTAAGAACAAAAGAAGGTTTAGACAAAAGAATGGAATCGATTCTTAAACTATGAAAAGGCTTATTACGTAGTGACTTTATCAGCAAAAGCTATGATAATATGTGAATGAATGGATAATATACTCACTTCCATTTGGTAATTGCTGCACCAGGCAGTAATCCGCTTTAGAGTTTTCATTTARGCCATGTTTTAATAAACATTTTTGAATAACAGTTGGTGTGCGCTCGCTTTGGGAAAGCTGAAAAATTAGAAGATTTACCAAATTACTCACATTGGCATTTCAAACACAATAWTCAAAGCAGAAAAGTATATCTTCAACTCGTACTGACCCAAACGCCTTTGTATACAAGTCCACTATCTTCCTCATCTTCAAGGCTTACACGGATAATATATCCAGCCTGGAGGCCTCCAAAACCGGCAAATGGTGACGGAGAGGATGAATACTTATTAGGAGACCAAGGATTGGAAGACGTTACAGGTGRAGATGGTAATCTGAAACACGGAGAAGACCTTCTCTTTATAGGAATAGACATCCCCTTGGCGACTGRTGCTTCTGAACCTGAACAGATCCCAGAAGAAGAAGAGGACGAGCCAGAAGAATGCTATTTGCAAGCAAAAAAGTGGATGAAAACTGAACTCTTACAATGTCTTCAATCAACAACTAAGTCTAGTTACTGGGCCCTCTATAACCCCTCTCTCCTCCCCTCTTTCACCCCACCCATCCCCCCACAAAAAAACTCTACCTTGTAATATATTTGAGATATTCATTGGTCCAACATGCATACAGTATGCTTCCCTATACTACAATAACACTCTACCGTGTAATATATTTGAGATATTCATTGGTCCAACATGCATTTGCTTCCCTATACTACGATAACACTCTACCGTCTAATATATTTGAGATATTCATTGGTCCAACATGCATTTGCTTCCCTATATATACCACAATAGATTCAATGGCTCGTGAAGTGAAATATTTAAAAAAAATGAAACTTTTATCTACGCATGCAGTCGAAAACATACAATTATCAAAAACAGTTGCTGGAGACCGAAATGAACTGTGGGTCATTAATATTCTTTATATATAAATATACCACTTGGGGAGCAGAAACAAATGTTGACATTTGGTATCAATGTTGGTAATCTAATTTTTACAAATGTCATAAACCGGTATTGAACCATAGTTCTTTTCGGTATTGCCATCGCCGTCCGACTTTTGCCATTGCCTCCGACAACGGGCTCTTTTGGAAATAAGTAYATAACTGAGAAACGAGAGCCGAATAGACCGTTTTCTCAAGGTTGTGGTGTGCGCATCCAACTTGACGGGCCACAAAACTGAAAAACGCCAATTCAGTAAARTTGAGAAGACAGTKTTATATTTAAAGAGGAGAATAATCGATTTTAWGAATTCTTATCGAAAAACATTTCATAGCAATGMAGTTCCTTAAATTTGAATGCGCACGCAACCTTGAGAAAACGGTGTATAAGAGATCATCCCAGTGATGTGTAATAGGCCGTGTGTGAAAAGCACTGTTACTCACATTTCTCTGATGTCTTATTAATACCGGTGAGTTCTCGGTTGACTT